GGACATAACGGCCATGAGGCCCTTGCACTAGACCCTTGATGATAACCCTTTGAAAGCGACCTGCGTCCAAGGGTTCTCCCACAGGGTTACCTTGGTCAGGAAATCGCCAAAGGGTTGGATTCAAGGACAGTATGAGGACCACACTTCGGCCTAGGTCTTAATCTACTCCTTCACCCCTCACCCTCTTCGGCCTGAAGCAGTGGGGGACTGGGGACTACATCGGCCTCAAGAATAAAAGGCAAAACCAAAAGAAATCCAAGAATACACCAAGTCCACAACTACAACATCAGACACGCACCACAACATCCACGACATCATGGTGCACCATCGGCCACAACAAAGCTTGAGATCACAGGACACTTATCGGCTTTGAAACCACATCACTCAAGCTAGGAACCAAGAGAAAGGTCAACATACCTGAATCACTGTCGGCCATGTACCATAACGGCCCCGAGGTCCTCACAACTTCCTCTTCGGCCAGACAGTGGTATCAACCCCAAAGCCTTGGGCAAGATGACGCCTGGTCGTCCAATAACAAAAGGCATCATCAACGACGGCCAGAAAGAATGCAGAGTGCCCTCATCGGCCTCACCAGCCCAAGAGGGAAACTTTACCTAGTCAACAATCAAGGACATGTACTACCTTCATCGGCCACCCATGCCAGAACGCGCATCATCCAACAAACAAAGCGCACCAAAGGAACAAGGGCTTCCCCCGGCCGCATCAGGGACAGGCAACGGCCAAACTCAAAATACAGGGCTATCAAGCGCCGCGACAGGGAACGGCCAACGTGATCCTACATCGGCCAAGGAGCGTCAAGCACATAAATCTACTCTCCTGCACTTCGTCTACATCTCAGCTTAGAGAGTGGGGGACTCCTGATGGAGTATATGGGTCTAGGCCCCAGGACCCACATACTCAGAACAGAAAGCACAGTCACTACACGGTGCCCTCGTCGGCCGGAAGACCCTCGTCGGCCGAAGAGGGGCCGATCCAGAATATGATCTTGAGGCCAAGGAACCAGGGTGTCCTCGTCAGCCGTGCCCACGTCGGCCGTGTCCTCGTCGGCCAAAGCCCTCGTCGGCCACGGGATACCCACATAACCGGATTTTACACTTACTCATTTGTACAGCCCACTAGTGGCTTTGTATTCGGCCCAGTAGCGGTCCAGTTGTAAACGGGCCTCCCAAGCCCAAGGCTTGGGAGCCCAGCCCGTATTTTCCCTATAAATACTTCCCCTGGAGGTAGTTATCAGGGTTACAAAATCATTCTATTGAAGCATATTATTGCACTTCTCTCTCTAGCTCTCACTTCTCTCTAGACAATTACTCTATCAGTGTGATAGTGTGTAGTGAAGCTTATGTTTTTGGAATGTGTATTTATAGATAGGGTTAATTTAAAAAGTTTCCTAAAAAAGGGGAGGGAACTTGTGGGGGAAAGGGGTGGTGTTCGATGATGTGTAAAAGGTTGGGAACTGTTTTGCGAACAGTATAAAGCAAAGGAGTATGGAGCAGTAATCCCCCCGCAAGTCCTTTCCCCTTTTCCTTTTACTTTCACTTTAGGGGCATTTTGGGAAAGTCAAAGCATTTTTTTACTTTCCTTAAAAACTGATCCAAGTCAATATGAGTACAATTTTTCGGGACGGAGGGAGTATATATATGTATGCGTGTGTATATATATGTGTGTGTTTGTGTGTGTGTCCCGATCCTGTCAGGACGTCTTGACCGGAACCCCCGTGCGGACAACACTATCAGAGGGTCTTCCCGGTGGAATTTTTTGAAGTAATGTTTCGAGCATGTTCCTCATCAAGTCTAGTTTACTCATACCAAATTTCAGCTCAAAATTCAATCGGGAAGGCAGTTAAACAAATTTTTGAAACATATTGCGCTTTATATATGCACCAAATGTGTTGTAAGAGAAGAGCCGCCACTTCAAGTGACGGCTTTTGTACCGTAAGAGCGCCACTTCAAGTGATGGCTTTTCTTAACGCGGTTAACCCAACAGTAATTTCGGAATTATTTTTAACCCAATTGTATTTTGGGATTTATTTATTTAATTAGCATTATTGCGGGGGGAAACTCGCTCTTTTATATTAAAAAAACAAAAAAAGCAAAAAATAAAATAAAAAATAAATAGAGTCGTCCACAACCACCGATTTGGGTGCACCGAGATGGACGTCGGTTGCTATACCGTGGGAGCAGCCCACGGTGAGCACGCTGCTCCCACAGGCAAAAAAACGTGTGTTACTGTTCACGCGTGAACAATAACGTCTTTTTTGTTTTTTTAGTGTCGAGTAGCAGAGTGATGTAACTCGCGTGTAAAGAAATGTAACTCACGCTGATAAAAAATACAAACAAGTCGAAATGTAACTTGTCTAATACGAACTATAAGAAATAAAACATTGATTTCCTTGGAAACAAGGAGTCTAATTGCTCAATTACTTTACATAAGTAGTGAATATGTTTTGTTTTTAATATTAAGGCCATAAATAATGTTTTTTCCTTAAAATCATTTTTTTTGCCAAAAGGTTGGTTGCCCGGTTCGGGCCACCCGGCTCGGTGGGATGGCGGTTCGGGCTCGGGCCCTTCAAAAGGTGAACCGGCCCGGCCGATTCGGGCCCGGGCCGGGCCAATTTATTATTTTGTTTTATTTTTTTTAAAGTTTTTGGGTTGGGCTGGGTATTTTGGGCCATTTGAGGTGGTTAGGGTTGGTTTGGGGGTGCGGGAGAGGGTTGGGGATTAACTAGGAAAAGCCAAATAAAAAAGTTAGAACCGAGGTCCGGCCCGGCCCGGACCCGGGGGTTACCCGGGCCGGTTCCGGGCCTACCCCTTCATGAACCGAGGCCCGAACCGGAACCGGTCCACCCCTAATTCGAGAGAAGATGAGATTTATCATTAGAATCGTCAACTTTTTCAGGAGTTATGAGATCAATTTTGTACAAATTTGACCTTCATGAAATATATTATATTGGATGTAAATTGTTGCTATATTTCAAAAGACTCTCTTGATTGTTTTCGTATTAATATTTGTAGTAAGTTCTTAATAATGCCTTTATTAAGTTCATATATGCGTGAGGCTAAGTTGCAAGAATCGTTACCGTAAACGCACTTTTTATACATGTTGATTTTTTTGAAGGACTGCTATATTGATACATAATAAAATATAATGTACAAATTAGTTGATACTGCGTACACTTGCATATAGTCAAGAACGTAAATTTTAATTTGATTAATTGATTGGGAAAATTCAAGTGATTCATAAATAATTTCATAATTTCTAATCCCGTGCAACGCACGAGTGAAAGACTAGTTGCTCAATTAGTTTACATAAGTAGCGAATATGTTTTGTTTTTAATATTAAGGCCATAAATAATGTTTTTTCCTTAAATCATTTTTTTGCCAAAAAATCATTTTTTCGCCAAAAAATCATATTTTTTCTTGCAAAATACTCATTTTTTGTTTCAATAGCATGAGTTTACTTAAATAGTAAATATGTTCTATTTTTAATAATAAGGTTGTATTTTTTTTTTAAAACCACTTGTTTTCCAAAGGCATTTTTTGCAAAAAATGATTCATTTGTTTCAATAGCAAAGCTTTATGTTGCGATGTAACTCATGTTATAGAAAATGTAACTCACGTTGATGAAAAATCTAACTTTGGTGAATGCAGAATGTAACTTATTAAAGTAAGTCTAAATGTACCTCGCGTATAGAAAGATGTAACTCGCGCATAAAAAGATGTAACTCCATATACTATCAAATGTAAACAATCAAAACAATGAGTCTAATTGTTTAATTTTTTTATGTAAATAGTTAATATGTTTTGTTTGTTTTGTATTAAGGCTATAAAAATGTTTCAAAGAAAAATATTTGTTTTTGCCAAAACTATTCTTTTTTTTGTCGAAAAATCATTCCCCCCCCCCAAAAAAAAAATCATTTTTGTTTGCAAAAATTGATTTTTTGGTTTCAATGCCCGGAGTTTATTTTGTGATGTAACTCGTGTTATGAAAAAATGTAACTCACGCTAATGAAAATTCTAAATTAGGTGTATGCAAAATATAGCATGTTGAGCCAAGTTTAAATGTAACTCGCGCATAGGAAGATGTAACTCATGCACAACAAGATGTAACTCGCTTATAAGAAAATGCAACTTCATATACTATCACATGTAATTCCATAAATTGTCTATAAATATAATTCACACACATGAAAAATGTAATTTAATTTCATGTTTTATGAAATTTAAACCGAAATAAATAAATTTAATGTCTTAAAAACATATCAAAGAGATAAGAAATACGAAGTATATTTTTTTGCAAATAGATAAGAAATGTATTATAGAAAAAAATTATGAACATGAAATATAAAAAATACTACGTATTACAGAAAAAATATACTCTATTGTAATTTCGATTGAAGATAAAAAAAGTAGAAAAAATGTATGATAGGATTATGAAATACAACATACTTATTTTATGTGGATTAATAAAATTTTGTAATAATTTGATAGAGAAAAATATAAGTTCAATTGTATTTAATTAGTTAAAGATAAAGATAAATAAACTCACAAATAATTTTTTAATATTTTGATGTAAAAGAGAAAAGAATTAAAGAAAATAGAAAATAAAAATAAAGAGAAAGAAAGTAAAAACCGGTGTGTTTGGGAGTTGGTTTTTGGAGGGGAGGGGAAGGTTAATAGAGTTTTATGACCCCCTTTTCATATTTGAGAGTTTAAAAAATCGGAGAGAATGCTTTTGGAGGGCTTTTGTAATAATCCTTCAAAACACTTCAAATGCTTAATTTTTAAGTTCCCTCAATTTGAAATGTTTTGGTGAATAATTAACAAGATGGTCATTTAAGCTAAATTAAAAATGCATATCAACTCAATGATTTGATTTCATCATATCTCAAAGTGATTTAATTACAATTCCTTCAAAAATCTTCTACTTCCGATTTTATTACTCCCAAATACAAAGAAAGAGCTTACTAACCCTCCCCTCCCCTCACTAAGACCGTAACTCCAAACCTTCCCCTCCCATTCCCTCAGAACTCTTCCCAAACATAACCTAAGAAAAAAGAGAGAAATTCACAACCATGCGGATGGGCTGAAACAAAGATCGCTTCCCACCTATCTATTGCAAGCTTATTATCTCTTCGTCAGCGCACAGCCATGTCCAATCTCCTTTCCCTGACCATCCCAATCTCATCCACTTCGAGTGTAACAGTTCATCCACAACTCTGCTCTTCATTCAAGGTATAAACTTTATCTCTTCGGTTACAAGGTTATACATTTCGGTGTATTGTATAACAAATATCCACAGGGGAAAAGCAAAAAAATATCATCTTGATTCGGAACTTCTATTCACTTCCAGTATGTCCTTTTAAAAATTATAGGCGACAAATGCTCTCTTCCTGGAATGCCTGGTCTCTTTTGTATCCCCCCCCACTGTTGTAGTCTTGTCTTGAATCTTGATGGTATTTTGCATTTCCGATGGGTGCCTATTATCGAAGATGTTGACCTCTTTCTAACTTAGGCAACTTTGACTGACACTTACAATAAGAATAGAAAGCAAAAACGTTGGGATTATGGTTTATGTAGAGCTGTAGAGGTGAAAGAAACAATACACCACAAACAGTTACTTTAAACTGAGTGTTAAAGTGTTTTGACAACTAAAGTAGAAAAGTTGTCAAAATTTTAGTGGGACCGATGGAGTATCATTTTTGTATTTTGGTGCTACCAATAAGAAAAGTTCTGTAATGGATCTTATCAATAATGTATTTGTAATTGAGTTGAATTTGAGCATTTTCTATATAAAAAGTAGATTTTGTACCAGGAAGCATCTTTATGATAGAAATAATACTGTAAGATAATTCAAACCGAACCATTTTTGTACCTATGCATCAAATAACAGTTGCTTCTGCAATGGATTAAATTTTAGAGCCACGTAAAAATTCAAATCAAGGAAGACCTTACACTCAATCTTAAAGTCCTTACTTATAATCGTGGTTGCCTATGTTCTTGGTTTTTTATTTTATCCCCTGTTTTTTTGTTTTGTTTTTTGAGTGAATGTTATGTATATGATTCAGATATGTTTTTATTGTTTTCAGTACAAGTGTACCAATAGGCTATGTATTTTTGCTGGAGTTCCTGGTTTCGTGGGTTGAAATTGTTTTACATTGGCTTTAGCTTATATTGATTCTGCTGTGGTTTAAATTGGCTGGAGTAGTCTCATTGAACATTTTTATGGTCTATGTTGTTTTCAATTTAGTGCATTTACTCATTAGTTTGGAGTTGGAGCAGCTCCAAAGTCGTACAACTCTTTTATGACTCTATGATAGGATAAGCTTTAAGTTTCTGTCCAGCCTAATAGTTTGTTTCAGAATCTGTACCTATCCGGTCTCTGTTCACCCACCTTCCAATGTTCTACTTGATATTTCTTCATCTGATTTATTTTGTAATATGACTTGTGCCTATTCCAAAGTATGTGACTTAGGTCCCATACTTATGCTTAGTTTTGGTATGAACTTTCAATATATATCTGAAATTTTATTCCAGCTTCGTTGGTTGCCTAAATGAATAAAATATTGCCAGCAACCTTTTGTCCCTGTTGCTATCTCTACTCATTTTGGTCTTATCTAGAGCAGATATGATTAAGCATGTTTAGTTGTTGTCTACTTGGTATTTTTTTTTTATTTCGTTTATTTTATATTATTTGTCAGGCAAGTGTGCGGACTTTGAAAGCGAATCCAAGTCAATTTCCATGTGTAAGACTTAGGAAACAAAAGCCTAATTCAAGAACATCATTCACTGTATTCAACCAGGCTCCCATGTCAGCAGATACTAATGGAGCTCGGTTCCGGCTCAATAACTTGGGCCCGCAACCTGGGTCTACAAAGAACCGGAAGAGAAAGGGTAGAGGTCATTCAGCAGGGCAAGGAGGCAGCTGCGGATTTGGGATGAGAGGTCAGAAATCGAGGTCTGGGCCTGGAGTTCGAAAGGGATTTGAAGGCGGTCAAATGCCACTCTATAGGAGACTTCCCAAGCTCAAAGGCATTGCAGGAGGTAACTTCTTACAACATTTCAAAGATTACTTCATATTCACGCTTTTACATTTCCGTCGCATCTGTTTTATTGAAAATGAATGAAACTCTCCGCAATTGTTCAGCTGTAACAGACTATATGTTAATGTGGTAAATTAAGAGATTATGTCTGTATTCTACTCAAAAGGTGTAAATAGAGCATTTATCCTCAGTTCATAACTTCATATTCTAACAACATAAATGATTAAGACTCATTTTTTTCATTAAAGCACTAAATACAGTTAAAACTAGCCTTAGGTGCTGTTTACTTGACTTAATGGACTTAATGACAATAACGACTTATGGGTTGTTTACTTTCGACTTAATGGACTTAATGATAATGACCACTTAATCATTCCGCCATTAAGTCATGTTCACTTACGACTTAATTGGAAACATGGCTTAATCGTATAGTAAAAAAACTAACTTAATCATTAAGCTAGAGAATAACAGTCCTTCCCATTAAGACGCTCTTTTCTGTCAATTTTTTCAAATTGATTGTGGAATAGATTTATATTAATAAATGAAGTTTTTCATTGACATTATAATCTAAGAATAATACTAAGTTGATTATTTTACTTGATTCAGACAATTTATTCAGCATACAAAATAAATAGCCTCGTATACAAATATAACTTAATCCAGATTTTAAAGTGTTTATTTTCTCAAAAAAAATTAATCAACGTCCTAATCTAGAAGAATTTAATAGAGAAAAGTAAACAACCCCTTAATCGTTTATCCATTAAGTCATATTCTGGGTTATCTACTCGGTGAGTACTCGGCGAGTACGAGTACTCGCAACTCGGGTACTGACCTTGTTGAGTAGTTACCTAACTCGGTCCATGTTTTATTTCCGAGTTACTCGTCGAGTACTCGGCGAGTTTCTCAACTCGGTGAAGTTTTCAACTCGGCGAGTTACTCGGTCTAACTCGGTCCCCCCTTAAAAAATTGAAAAATTAAGTTACAAAACCTAGGTTAAACGGAATTTCTGACATCTACTATCCCCCTAGAGCTGTGATTATAATCTCTCAATAAGTTGTCATCTTCTTTCTCGCATCCTCCCCTCTCCCCTCTCTCGTTTCTTCTTCTTCCACCCTCCCATACTTCAGTTGATTTTTATTTTAAAGTATCAACACACGTATATTTTGATATAAATAAATTTCTTTCACTAGTATGACTATGTATATTATACAACGTAACTTTTAATTAATATCACTAAATTGATTGTTTACTATGACACATCATTGATTGATACACACTGTCACACATCATCTAATTGAAAATACAATCATCAGCTCTGCTCAGTCTGTTGAGGCTTCTAATGGGGCTGAATATGCTTACACGTAAGAGAAAATCAGATGATATAAGATGGACATGGGGAGAGAACAGAGATCTTACGAAATTATTAGATGATTGATTTTCTTGAAAACATAGAATGTTTATGACTTTTGCTACCCCATCATTAGCATTTCTATCATTTTATTCATTTCTATGCATTTTAAGACTATTATATTTCTATAATTTTTGGCACTTATGTTATTAAATTTAATTAATACAAGGCCGAGTAATCACCGAGTAATCCCAAGTAATCGGTCCTACTCGCTACTCGGTCCTTGACCGAGTAGCGAGTTAACTGCTTAGGTCATATTTACTTATGACTTAATTGAAAGCACAACTTAATCATTCAGTCAAAAAACTGATTTAATCATTAAGATGGAGTATGATACTTCTCCCCGTTAAGACATCTATTAAGACGCCTTTTTTGTTAGTTTTTTAAACCGATATTTGAATATATTTATGTTAATAAATGAAATTTCTTATTGGCATTATAACTTATGAATAAAACTAAATTGATTATTTTACTCAATTCAGACAGTCTATTCAGCACACAAAGTAAACGGCTTCATATACAAACACTACTTAATTTAGACAGACGCTTTAATACAAATGGATTATATCTTAATATAAGTCTTAGGATATTGCACCTTAGGATGCTGAAAGTTAAAATTTCAGTTTCATTTTGATATTATTTTGCAAAAGAAAATTTGCTCTGTATAAGGCTGAAATGTATAGATAGTCATATCCGTTAATACGACTGTTGAAACAGTTTTGAAAGGTATGGAATCAAAAGAGAATGAAAAATAGAATGTGATTCCAGTATATTCATTAATGAGAGAAAGCTCATATGCACGTGCTTGTTGTTTCTAAGGGAATCTAAGGAGAGAAGATCCCTACAATATGAAAGGTTGCTGAATATTTGAGACTAATTAATCTATACATTTATAAACTAAATAAACCACTTTCCATAACCCCCCCTGAAATATGTATAATTTACATCTGCTAATTTTTTATTTATTTCATCCACTATGTTGTGCAGAATCAAGCTAAAGCATTGTCCGTTTTTTGGTTCTGCAATTTTTTTTAAAATTGCCTACTCTATACTGCAACCTGTATATGAAGGAGATGTTTGATGATTTGTAATGAAACTCATGATGTAGCTGTCTAATTGACAACAGCCTTCTGTGTAACGGATTATGGCTTCTATAGAGCAGACCGGTGCACGAAGGCATCCCCACATGGTGAGGATCTGGGGAAGGGTCCCACCACAAGGGTGTATAAGGGGCTAGCCTTCCCTTGCCTAATTTTTGACAACGGATTATGGCTTTTATGTTCCGCAAAAGGTGTAGTATGTGTCAGTTGACTCAGTTCGCAGTATTAAGAAGGCATTTTGTCACATTGAATAGGCATTTTGTCAGTTCGCAGAATAATATGCCAATGGCTCTATGAACTAGTAAACATAAGTGTATTGTTGGCTGATGGGTTGATGATTCATGAAAACCTAATGTGATTTTGTCTTTGTGATGACTGATAGCGGCAGTTATGAGTCATAGATAGAGAGTTCTGCCATATTTGCAGGGGAGGAACTACCCTTTGGGGTAGGGGGCCTTGGCCCCCCAACTTTTCATTTTTTTAAAAAAATATTAATTAGTTAATGTTCAAATATACTTATTAATAAAATTTTAGTAGGAGTAGTTAAATGTTAATATATTTATTATAATATTCTCTTTTAAAGTGAAACATAGTTTTAGTGATGATTGATAGATATATACAACAACAACATCCAAACCTTAATCCCAAAAGAATTTGGGGTCGGCTAACATGAATCGATCTATGATAACGATGCCAAAAAGAGAAGACAAACAAGAAAAGGAAGAAAAAAAGTAAGATAAAATGAATAAAATAAAGATAAATAAATATAAGATAACAATAACACAAGAATATAAGAAAGATAAAAGAAAAAAAGAGAGGAAAGGTAGAAAAGACATCAATCGTCCACACAGATGTGCGCCCTTCACTTTTCTCTCTCCAAAGTCATACTCTCATCCAACCCAAGAAGACGCATATCAGTTCTGATTCCTCTAATTCAAGTCTGTTTGGGTCTTCCCCTCCCTCTCTTCTCTGCCTCTTCTCCCCACCCCTCAAGTCGTCTAACAGGTGCATCACTCGGTCTTCTACGCACATGCCCAAACCACCGCAAACGAGACTCCTGCATCTTATCTTCTATAGGTGCTACTTCCACCTTTTGTCTGATTACCTCATTCCTCAAACAGTCTTTTCTGGTATGTCCACACATCCAACGCAACATACGCATCTCTGCCACACTCATCTTTTGAATGTGGCATTGCTTCACCGCCCAACACTCTACGCCATACATTAATGCCGGCCTAATTGCTGTACGATAAAATCTACCTTTCAATCTAGTCGGCATACCTCGATCGCATAGAAATCTTGAAGCACTTTTCCATTTCATCCATCCAGCTCCGATTCTATGACATACATCTCCATCTAATTCACCGTCCTGAATTATGGAACCCAAGTAACAGAATATATGACACATCGGTATCTCCTTACCATCAAGAGTAATCACACTGTTGTTACTACTTCTACCTCCACCGAACTTGCACTCCATATACTCAGTCTTGCTTCGTCTCAGTCTGAAACCCTTGGTCTCTCCAATGTTTGTCGCCATACTTCCAAGTTTGCTTTAACACCGGATTGTGTCTCATCAATCAATACGATATCGTTGGTAAACATCATGCACCACGGTATATCTTCTTGAATTGACTTCGTAAGTTCATCCATGACTATAACAAATAAGAAAGGACTCAGAGCAGATCCTTGGTGCACTTCGATAGTAATAGGGAACTCTGCGGTCCTCCCTACACTAGTGCGGGCACTTGTAGTACAAGCATCATACATATCCATGATGATACTGATATACTTACGTGATATGCCTTTTCTAGTTAAGGCCCACCAAAGAACTTCTCGAGGTACCCTATCATATGCATTTTCTAAGTCAATAAACACCAAATGCAGATCCTTTTTAGTGTCTCCATACTTATCCATAACTTGTCTAAGAAGGTGAATGGCCTCAGTTGTTGAGCGTCCAAGCATGAAACCAAATTGATTCTCCGAAATTTTCACACTTTTACGAAGTCTTTGCTAACCACTCGCTCCCAAAGTTTCATGGTGTGACTCATAAGCTTAATCCCTCGATAGTTAGCACATTCTTGTACACCACCCTTATTTTTAAATAAGGGAATGATAGTACTCTTCCGCCAACTCACTGGTATTTTGTTGTTTCTCCATGTTGAAAAAACGTGTTAGCCACTCGATGCCTTTCTCTTCCAAACTTCTCCAAGCCTCGATCGGTATGCCATCTGGGTCCACTGCTTTCTTCCGTCCCATTTTTCTCATAGCCTCTTTAACTTCTGTTGTTTGAATCCTTCTCACGAAGTCTTGATTAACCATACACTCTGGTATAGTAAGAACACTAATACCTTACACTTTATTCCCGTTGAACAAGGTATCAAAGTATGACCTCCACCTCTCTTTTATTTTGATAGGAACTCTAATTTTATAACAGTAAACTGATTGTAAAACAGTAGAAAGGAAGAAGATGATACAGGCGAGGCGCTTCGA